ACTCTTAAAAAAAATTAGAGTCCAAAACTTAAATGACTTGGTTTCATTTAATTATAATCTAATATAAAATCTAGAAATCTATTGTATTAATTGTTGATATATGCATTTATAAATTGAACATATTCTTGAATATAATTAGTTTCTAAATATAACTCTCTGAATTTTGAATTAATTTTTTAGTTTCCAAAATATAAGAATCATCATTTAATAAAATGGATTTTTAAAGTTTAAATTATGTTCTAATTAAATAAGATGATGTAATTTAAGGGTGAATCTCTAATTTTTTTAAGAATTGAGACTAATACATACTATCTGGATATATGTATAAGTTAGTGCATATCAATCCTAACTTCTAAATGAATTAGAGTCCCAAGCCTTAAATGACATCATTTCATTTAATAAAAATTTAATTTAAAATTCAAAAATCTCTCAGTATTAAATTTCATATTTGAATTTGGAAACTATAAATCCAATTTAATATTTAAAAATTCACATTTAAAAACTAATTTTATACAAAATATATAATTAATTTTCAAATGTAGGTATCAACATTTAATACTGTGGATTTCTGAATTTTAAATTGAGTTTTAATTAAATAAAATGATGTCATTTAAGATTAAAATTCTAATTTTTTTTAAGAATTAGAACCGATATGCACTTTTCTCATATATATATATATATATATATAAAAGGTTTATGCTTATTGGTTGGGTCTCAAAAAATTAAAAGCAAAAAGGCCTAAAAAAAAACTAAAACAAACTCGTCCATGGTTAAAAAAATAAGATATTTAAATATTTTTTAATCGAAAATTTAATTAAATGACATAGTTTGGAAGTTTTTTCCTCCTAATTTGTTAGAGACCCAATTCATAAGCACTTTTCTCTGTATATAAAAGATTTTAACCCAGAGAAAAAATTTAGGTATGATGCATTGAAATAATTAAATTTTTTAGTAGTAAGATTGAATTCTTTAATACATAAAATATTAAATCTAATTCACCATTTAGTTATAGTAGTTAATGAGAAAATATTTTTTTATATAATTAGACTGCTTAATTAAAGCTCATTAGTGTGTAGAATAGAAAAATCTAATTCTTCATGAATAAGATTCTAAATCTCAGTTAAGATTGAATTATAGTAGTTGATGTTCTATTTCTATATTAATATCCAAGATTTAGATTGGGCGTTATTAATTACAACTTATAGCACAAACAAACATTAATAAGAACAATTTTAAGGGTTTTTTTTTTAGCTGTGAAAATCTAAATAATTTAATTTTTATTGTTAAAAGCACTCTGAAGAATTGAGGAAGATGAAATTAAATTTAACTGACAAATGTTTCCAAGACAACCATTGCACACAAATAACAATTGTTAGGCCAAATTTAGTTCTGAAAGTTTTAGAGTTACGTTAAATTAATAAATTTAAATGAAAAAATCTACACCTACTATCTTTTATCCTTTCCCTTTTTATAATAATGAGGTAAGTTTAACTGAAACTATACCCTTTTTTATCAAGATATTTGAGTAATAACAAACAATATAATTAATGTATAAAAAAAGAAATATAATTAGGAAATAGCTAAATTAATAAATCAAAATTTTTAAATTTGAAATAATTTTCTAACTAAGTCAAGGAGAAAAATTAAATACTATAAAAATGTTTAGATTACAAATATGGAGATATATAATGATTACATATTTAATTATTATTGAAGGAATTAAATTGCTTCAAATATTGTCAATTATAACAAGTTTATTTTTAAAATAAATGTTCCAACTTTTACCTTTCCCATTGTGAACGAAAATTTTAAAAAATAAACACTTAAGAAATAACTTCTACTTAAATGCCTAAGTATTTTTTAGATGTAATTTCTCGAAAGTTATTATAATTATAACATCATATATCTTCTAAGAGAAGTAATAAGGAATTTTAAAGTTTAATCTCAAAATTAATACCTAAAATGGTGAAAAAACAACTCAGAATAGAAGAACATTTAATAAAACCTCAAAAGAAAGGGAACGAAGAAATTATGCATCCAAACAAAGTGAAAAGTATCCAACAATTAACTTGGTACATGAATCAAAACACACAATTGTAACCAATTAAGATGTTAGCTAGTTTTTAGATGTTTCAAACAGTTAACTAAATTTATGTTCTTTGAATTTTCATTCAAGATTTAGCACCTATCTCTCTAAGTTTTTATTCTACTCCATAAGATACTTATGACTATCCTTTACTTCACCTTGCAAAAAATATTTTTAATTTAATTTAATGAGAGTAAGAAATGAAAAAAAGAAAAAAAGAGAAAGAAATAGATTTTACTTTAATTGAAAAACAAAAGCTTTGAGCATTTCCAATACAACCAAAAAAAAAAAAAAAACATTACCATTAATAGCTTGTAATATACCATAACTATTAATCTTAAAATGCAAATATGTGTATAAATTTATTAATAACAGAAAATTCAAGGGATGATTTGAGGGCACTGTTATTTGTACGTTGGTTGGAATGGGTATTACCCATGATATTAAGAGTAGTACTTATACACTACCATCGAACAACATGCCATCGAATTTCCTATAGATAAAATAAAATTATAGTATTCATTAATATAGCAATTTAATATGA